TGATTTGCAAATTAAGGCATTTGAAAATGTACCAAAATGTTTGCGAAAATAAGTAAAATCAAATAGCACAATAGTAGTAGATGATAACCATTCATCCTTCTCTATCGATAAACACTGTTGAATGAGGTCATAAGATTTATAGTTTTGTACAAAAATGTTCAATGGCTCAAACTAAGCTTTATTGAAGTCTTGGCCGTATGAAAATTCAGATCCCTTTTATTTATCTGAAAACAGTTTGTTACCACCGTAATTCACCCTGATTATAGTACTTTATTATCCAGATTAGTAAGCTTTACATTGTTTTTTTCTTTATTACTTGTCTTCTCTTAACTTCCATGTGTTTAGCTGATATTTCATTTTTCATATATATGTGCTTTTAACAAGTACATCTGTGTTCAGATCATACGAAATGCATTGCTCTAATAGATCACACAGTTTTAATAATCTTCGCTTACTTATCGTACTATCCAAATCCATCAAAGAGATTAATTGTTTTAAAATATGAATACTGGCACATTTCAGATAAGATTAGTATTATTCCCAATCTCAACAATGAGAAATCTGCTATTCAATAATGTATTTTACATGATGAAGAAGTATATTTCATAAACTTATGGTATTATTTATAAATCTAGTTTTGGTTAGTTGGTTTATACATGAAAAATTTATTGATATTATAAATGTATATTGAAATCGCAATTACCATGGAAATTTGTATTCATGAACTGTTACGTAAGCTAAATAGTTAGCAAGTGGTTGATAAATCATACCATGTATACGTGATATTGATGGGTATTTGTTAATGTTATGCATGATTTATGTATAGTTACTTTTCTATTGAGAAATACACTGATTTCTACACCGTTTATCAATACTGTTCATGTATGTTAACATACGTTTATTTATGTGTATATGTTTAGGTATACTTTTAGTGAGAACGACTGTAAATAAAAATACTGTTATTTTACAGCTTACAAATTAGACTTTTAATCTGTCAATGTAAATGTATCTGTCAGACTGTACAAATAAAATCACATAAATAATTCTCAAGCTTTATTTATGCATGATTTATTCTATTGTTTTGACATTTTCTTTCATGAATAATATATTAGGTACCAAAAAGAGAGAGTGAAAAACACATTGATAACGAACTATATTTATGAGTACTAGTAACAAATAATGATGAGTACGTATTGTTAAGAAAAAAGTTCGTTTTCTCGATCTTCAAATGGTTAGTACTGTATCCAGTATGGTGATTGACGTTAAGAAAGACTGATTAGTTCTGTTAAATATTTCAATAGTGATCAATATCAATGTAAAATAATAGTCTTGATCTCCACCGTTAGCCATTATCTAAGAAATAACTTTTTTTTACAATGCTAACCTTAAATTTTGAGATTCTATTCAATGAAGATTTTTGACTAAAGTTGAGTTCTGCTAGACGATGAAATAAATCGATTAGATTTTTGTGATTCGAGAGACGTATCTGCTTTCCAACAAATAAAGTCCAAGAATATACTTTATATTGATAATTATCTGTTAATATTTGGCTATCAAAATATGCACTAACCGATCATTAAGTAAAATTTATTCATAAACTGTTCAGTTCTTTTGTTTAGTTAAATAATGAATACCTTTTTGAGACAACTGGATATACGTTATCGAGAATGGTAGATATACTTCATGACTCCATGTCAATAACTTTTTAGTAAAAACTGTACTCAGAACAATATAGTATGTTATTAATTGTGAACCAGTAATTTTCCATAGAATTATAGACGTATAATCTTTAAATTTTCAATTTCAATAGTTGAGACCATGAGTCAATTGAAGCCATTATGGAGAGCCTGGAAAACTGGATGGCCGTGTTGTCCTATTGTGGGACTCCTCAGCAGTGCACATCCACGATTCCGCTTCGCGGGATTCGAATTCAGGACCTGTCGGTCTTGCACGCGAACGATAAACCTCTAGAGCACTGAGTTGGCATCCAACAGTGTTAATGTCTAACTTCAACTAATCCATGAAATTTCATTCAGACAACATTCAATGTACCAAGTCAAAGTTTAATATAAACCTTAGTTATACATTTAACGGTATCATTTATAAAGTAAAGTAGAATAGATGATGTTATGAGAAAAAACTATGTCAGGGGATAGTTCCTAGACAATAATAATAGTCACATTCATCTTTAAAAAGTTATTCCACCTGGATTTTTGTTTACAATAAAGATATATTCATCAGATGATAAAATGATCGTTATTAATTTAAGTAATTAAGATTGTGTTAGTGTTAGGAAAATATTATCATATTCTTTGTAGGTATACAGGTGAATATAAATGTAATGGATACAACTTGAACAATGTATGAAAATAAGACGATTAATCTGAAATTGAAAATGCAGTTGTTAAAAACTTTGATATTTAGCCACAACATAAATAATGATGATAATAATTGTAAAAATTGGTTACGTAACATGATAAAATGAAATCTAATCAAAAAGAGCATAAAAACAGAACTAAGTCAGTTGGGTATGAAAATGGTAATAAAGAATGAAACAGGAGGAAGGATAATGATTTTGTGAATATATAGATTAAGATCATGATGAAAGAAGAGGTCAACTAAGCTTCTTTTGTTGGTATAATTTTGATTTCTAAATGTTCAAGATTCATACAAATCATATAAAGATGTTGATAAGAAGTAGTTAACTATTAGTTGATGAATTAAATAATGACACAAAACTTATGTAATAACTGAGTTCAAAAATGTACTCTCAAGACTGAAGAATATGGTAGAACTTTCCTTAACAAAGATCAATCATGTTTTCGACATTCTTCTTGACAACAATTGATTAGCCAGCATCCATTTTTGTTTATAAATTTGTGACATAAGGCAATATCGAGGCAATCCGTACAGAATGCACATATGCCAACAGGAGACTGGTCAATTGCAGTCCTAAAACAACAATGGGAAGATTCAAGGAAACAATATCAAGTGAATTTAAACTTCACCCCATTCCACAATCAGGTGGCTATCAGGACTCAGTAGCTAAGTGGATAGCGCGATGTCATTTGAAACGTATGGTACAGAGTGCGAGACCTGGAGTGAACATCAACTATGGGGTTAAGGTACGTCCAGATGACGAAGCCCACATAGGACGAAACGCACGTCCTGGATTCCACTACTATCCACCATCTATCTTTGCTTATACATCTTCTTGACAGAATTCACCAGAGTTTTTTTAGAATTTAAGCTAAATGATACTTGATAACATTTAATGGTTATTATTTGGTGTCACTAATTGGTTAACTTTAAAACATATGAAACATTAAACTCCAATGTGGTAACTTTATTTTAAACTAATTATCTAGAAATTTGATTCAATCCAAAGTCTGCTGGAGTTTATTATCAGGGTTATATAAGTGATAAATTTTCAAAATCATTTTGAGTTTATCCAATATGATAGTCAGTCAGTCAGTCAGCTACAACGTAGGACCAGGCACATATATGCACCGGTCCAAGTTGCCATACCTCATTAGCACAACAAGATGGACACCGGTTTCATAAAAGTAGTTAATGCAGAGGTGGTAATATATATATATATATATATATATATATATTATAAATAACCTCTACTGAGTATATGTGAACAGCATATCACAATAAGATTGTTTGGTGTTGTTTTTAAAAAGGTCAATCCATCTTTTTTCAATTATCATTAAATATATGAGAGTGCAACAATATCTTTCATATAATCAAACGGTGTATTATTACACTTTTGAAATGATTATTCAACCATAAAAGTATTTATTATGTGAAAGTGTAATAATGTACAAAAGAGCAATGGTAACATAAGAAATATTGACAAAAGTCTTTTTTTCTTCTTCTGAAATTACTAGTCGAATGTTATTGATGCTTAATTGATTATCCCTTTATAGTAACTGATAGTTCAAAAAACATTTCTATCATTGAATGAGAGGAAACTACTGGGTATGCATTTTAAATTATAAATAAACATAATGGTATACAATGTGTAGATCAGAATTTAATGTCGTAAAGATTGAAGTAACTATTAATGTCAGCATCGTAAAGTGACTTATCAAAGAAAAATTATGAAATGATTTTATTAGTTAATGCTTGATTTCATGATTATAGTTAATTACTAACATGTTTCCGCATTTCATCATTGAAAAAAATCAACAACAACACAACTTAGATTAGTTGATTCAAGAAGCGGTCATGTTGAATGTTAAGAATATGTGTAGGAATCTCAGTTTTTCTTCGATCAATTTCACTCAAATATTTACTTATTATATAGGATATCATAGATGAATTTCTAAGAGTAGTTGTCCTTAGTTTAAACAAAATACTTTGTTATATAGTGAAGATAAATTAAATGATTATTATAATCTGTATTGGTTGTAAGGAAATGGAATGAAATCAAATTTTCAAATAACATTTATATAGATTTTATCATAAAGCAATTACACATTCCTACAATCTACATGACTGCAGTCAATATGAACTCGTAGTAAAATCGATTCTCAATTCAAAAAAGCTTTCGCAAAGGCTAAATGTTACCAACAATTGTGTACTTATTACTAACCGGTTCTTTGATGAATTTCTCATGAATCTTTATGAAACTGCAATCTTCAAACTGAAACAGTAATCTATCGGTGATAATAATTGGAGTTATATGAAAAAAATATAAAAAGTATAGAAAGTTTGTTCCTTCTGGTAGATATTGAAATATTTGTATGGCTCCTGTTTTGGGTTAATGATGCTCACACTTGGTGAGTTCAAAAGAGAACAAAATAGCTTTTCACTGTTATCTAGTTATCAATCAATGATTGAAATGATGTCTGATAGTGATAAAAATTCACTTCAAAGAGAATAAGCTTCATAAACTTTCCATGTTAACAGACAAAATTTAGACCAAAAGTAATATTATTCAGTTATTTAACCATAAATATTTTTGTTAGATAATAAGTAATATAACTTACTGGTTTCGGCAACATTCTATTTGTATTTGTTAAACGTGGACGAGATGAATAATTTTCAAATGGTGAGATTCTACGTCTTCCTGATGTAGAAGGTGATCTTTCATTCAAATTTGTAGGATATGAGGAGCCAACATTGTATAAATCTTTTGTATTTATTTGAGTAGGATAATGAATATCCGTCATGTGTTTTTCTTCATAAGGAATATTTTTCGTTGCATGAGTATAAAACATTGGTTCTATAAAAGGTTTAAATAAGATATTTTACAGTTCATTTCAACTCTTCTAGCCATTTTTTCACATCTTATCTAAGACAGTTAAAAATATATACCACATACACTGACAACGAAACAAAATAGATACTTGAAATTTTTTGTGGGTAGTTAATATAATTTTTAAAAATCCAGGTTATGAAAATTGGGTAATTAAATTACTGTGTAACGTTACTAGTTTATACTTGTTACATGTCTTTCTTTACACAAGGTTAATATATTTTAAAACTATTTACTAGCATTCTCTTGAATTACCCTTATCAAATATGATAATCGTTTTTCTACTGATAAGACTCAGTCAGTCAGTCATATACAATATAGAACCAGAAATATAAAGTTGGATACACTCCATCGGTACAGTGACAAAATTCTCAAGGCAAGTTCTAAATTAGGTATCAGCGGTACGATTCGAGAAGAAAATACGGATTAGTGAATAAAATTACAAGGAATTCGGCGGCCTGGGAGCTAAGAGAAATTAAGAAATAATGCATTTGAATGTTTGAGTTACCTCAACTCTTCATTGTGTTTGGAGCCGGACGAGCTTAACTGGGTTAACCGGCTTCTGAGCATATGTTAATTCTTTACAAGCTGCTGAAATACTTTGATTTTTCCTAACGTTTTTCAACCGTCGTTCTCTGATATCACTGCTGTTTTCATGATTGTTTGAACATCTTCCCAATCCAACTAAGGTGAACCTCATTATGGGGATTAACTAGTAGCTTCTATATTTGCTCTTCGTTAAGTTGAAGGCTAAGTGAATTTCTTGCTGCAGCCTTTCTGTGTCCAATAAACAAATGCGTGCTCATTATAGAGCATGATCAGAGTCCAAACGTGTATCACAGAATAATCATCATATTAAGTGATCACAATAGGTTTATGAACAAGAGTTAACAATTTCTAGTGTTTAGGCAGATTTAATCATCGTGTACATTACTGTAACAAATTGTAATTAAAACGATTAAATTACAGTTGAATTTTATAAGGCAAACTAGTTCGTATTTGTTTTTTTATACTGAATGTTATTAGGCAAAGAATAATAAAAGCTTAAAATGATTTAAATCCAATGCCATATTAGAATATCGATTAGTTACAGCTGAATAATTAAATATATCCTGAGTAGTTCAACTAATATGATTTGCTTAAGAGTAAATTTACTAGTTTTTAGAATGACACGAATTGAATTAGATCCTTATAAGTGAACCGAACAAAGTTTCTGTTGGCGGCCTGCTTGAATACCTGGGCTACTTGTTCCTGCCATCTGGATATTTCAACAAGTTAACTGTTGTCTTGTTTGTTTTAACACATCATTATGCCTATCAGTCTCATGACCTATTCAGATGCGTTTGTGAAAAGTTTACGAAATTTTACTACACAAGTTTTAAGAGTCCAATTAGAGATAATATAGTTACTGGCAATATGCATCGAAAAGGATATACATCATTCAGATGTTAATTAATGAGCTGCTAACATCTAATTGACGATCACTCACTATTTATCGTCAGGATCAATCAAAAAATAAGAAAAGGAAACTTGCTGAAATACTTTGCGCTCAGAATTCTACGTCGTACCAAAAATATAACATTGAATAAAGCTAATAATAGTAATAAACAATCTTTTTAAGGCAAAGACGAATAGTGGTTAGCAGTCGAATCCAGGATGGTCGTTTAATCCTATTTGGGACTCATCTGCTAGATGTAGCTGCATCTCAGAGTTGATGTTGATTCAGGGACTCGGACCCAGTAACATTCACTTCAAACGCCATCACGTTATCCACTTAGCTACTGACTCGTGATAGCCACCTAATTGTGCAATGAGGTAAAGTTTAAATTCATATGACATCGTTTGCTCGTATCTTACCACTGGCTAAATGGATAACGCAATAGCGTTCGAAACGAACGGTACTGGGTTCGAGTTCCTGAGTGAACATCAACTCTGAGATGCAGGTACATCCAGCAGACGAGTACCAACGTGGACGAAACCCGTGTCCTGGATTCCACTGCTAGCTACTGTCGATCTTTGCTCATAAAGCTTATGACTTAAGGCAATACAGAATGCACATATACCAACATGAGACTGATCAATCGTAGTCCTAAATAACAATGAGAAGATACAATTAAAACAACACCAAGTGAATTTAATAATAAACAATATTTTAATCTTTAAAATATTCTTAACTACATGATTTTACTCATTTGATTTGCTTAAAAGTAAATTTAATAATGTTTAAAATGACACAAATCGAATTAGATCCCTTTCACTAAAGCGAACAAAATTTCTGTCGGTATATAATAAATAGTTAAAATGATTTAACTTCATTTACTAGATTTTTTAATGATGGTTATTCCTATACAAAAAAGATTATTCAAATTATAAATGACATTGATAGGCGTTAACCAAAATGTTAACTTTTCATTTTACTGATAAGATTTGATAAATTCATATTTATTATCCATGCGGTTAGTATTAAAATTAGTAGTTTATCATCATGTTTCTTTGGTTACACCCAAATATTTTTAAAATACATGCAATGTATACTTACATTTTACAAAATAGATATCATTATTTAATTTGTTATGGATAAAGTCAATGTTGAGAAAAACAAAACACAACAATAAACAGTCAAGTAAATAAATAAAAATGTGCAATGATTGATTTATTTTTTTTTCACAAAAATAACGTCTTATTTTTGTATTGTTGAAGGTCATTCAGAATATTCAAAGGGGTTATTGGAACACTGATTTTGTATGATTTTTATTACAAATCACTGAGAAATTCCAGAACAGAAAAGTAGAAAGTAGAAGTATCAAATGCGTTTTTCAAAAAAAAAAACATACAATGGTGTATTATAAGAAATGAAGACAGGTTATTTATTCTCTGAAGTGACACTAAGCCATGAAACGTCAGAAAATCTCATTTTTCTACTCATTGGGATATTACAAATATACTATTTATTTATAACAATCTGCCCAATGCTCAATTTATTCGAAATTATCAAATCAAACCTTGGTAATGATACCTACAAGTCTATACAGTACATCTCTTTGTAATTAGATGTATGGATACGGAAATAGTTTATTGAAACTTGTCATTTGTTTGTATGACATTGATTATATACAACTTAATCTGTAAAGATTATGTAATGAATTATTTTAGTAAACATTTCTCTATTAATATCAGATGGGTTTTGGGGAGATTGTAGTAATTTCAATGATTAGGATCATTAGTCAGTTGAAGGTAGACCACCATGGAAAACCTGGAAGCACTGGAGGGCCGTTTCGTTCTATTGTTGGACTCTTCAGCAATGCTTGCGCGCGAAACCAGTGGGTCCTGGATTCGAATCTCACAGGGGGCGAGGTCGTGGATGCGCACTGCTGAAGACTCCCACAATAGGACGAAACGGCCGTCCAGTGCTTCCAGGTCTTCCATGGTGGTCTAGCTTCAACTGACTCATGATCTTAATCAGTGAAATTTCTTTATTAGCCTAGAATTATCCTATATAATACTTTGCAATGAAATGAAATGCATAAATCTTAGATATGTGCAGTGATAAAGTAAATTTATTTAATTCAAAGTATTTATCTAGATCATTCATAGTTTTTTTTAAAATTTCCTGTTAATAAATTCTCAATTGCCTTCTGTAATAAACAATCAACTTGATCAGCACAATAATAAAAACATTGATTTTGATTTTGTTTATTTATCTTCATGTTTGACTCATATCATGTATAAAATTATCTGATTTCATCAGAATCACTGATCAGAGGTGATATATATGTAGTCAATAAAATTTCTTCTTTCAGCTTAGATCCAATTGTACATACATACAATTATGATCTTAATACACGTTTCTATACTTTTCATACCAAATGTCTCATACATACTACAACAAATTCTTACTTTCGATACTGTTAACATGATTGGATGACCTGTTTATAATACAAGTAACTGGAGAACCATATACTTATTCTCTTTTCGTTAATTTTGATGACTGATTATATTTCCTTGAAAAAGCTTATACCAGAAGGTCGAGTGAAACATAAGACGCTGAGAGTTTACAATTATAATTTTTCCTCCTTCATGCTATAAAAGTTAGTTGGTGCTAGTTAACTTTAAATAAAAAAAATGAATTTATGCTTGCTAGAAATCATGTAGTCTTTAAAATTGTTTAATTCGTGCTTAACTGAGTCGTTCACAAAAAGAAAATATATTCAAATATCCATACATTTTTACTGACTGTACATGTCTGCGAAACGATATAACGAGATGTTATTTCATTGAAACCTTTAATTTATTATCTACACGACTTTTAAGTAGGTAGTATAGCTATTTTTGTGAAAAAACTCCATTTATATCGAAATTATATGAATATTTTGTAGGTTCACATCTTTAGATCATTGTCCAAATATTATTGTATCCTTTCTTGTTACTAAGTAATTTAACAGATCAATCATGTGATATTTCACTTTAACCGATATGTTATTTAAAAATATAAACTTCTGAAACAAAAACCTTATAACAATCTTCCGTTGACCTCATTACAACACTTGACAGTATAAGAAATGTTACATTCATAAATTGAAGTTACCTCAGGTATAAGAAAGACCGAGAGGTTTGAAATGAAATAAATAGGAATAATTGATCCAGAAAACGTTTGTAAATATATATTTTAACAGAAAAAGGTCATATTTCTACCACACAACATAAATTCAGTAAGTAGATTAGATTACTCGTTATACAACAGCTGATGAATGTTTTGAGGTCATAATAAACATACTCTCCCATATTTTTTATATTTCAAAGATATATTTGCAAGAAATATTGTACAGATTTGCATTTATAAATTGTAACACGGAAGGTCAGCTAATCAGATTTTGCGATTAACAATTATATTTTTCAGTACAATTAAAATTATCACAGTTTATTTTTTTGTAAGTAATGATGGATAGTGGTTAGCAGTGGAATCCGAG